TAAGGAATATTGGAGCTTCAGGGCATCAGGGCGCGCCTTTGTACACCTTTTGCAAAAAAAGTGGCGTCCGGCAGCGACAGCGTCGACCCGATATGGGCAAACTCACAGACGATCACACAGCGCCGCAAGCAATCTCGTCCACATTATCGGCAGAGCACACGTGGAACTTGCACTCGTAGCTGGAGCTCTTTTCTCTGGAGCTTTGACGAAGAACTCGGCAACCGTGGGCTCCGTGTCCTCGCCATTGTCGACCCCGTCATCTTCACGAGCGCAAGCAGGGCGGTGGGCTTAAGAGATCTCCGAGCTGCTAGACCATTTTGGCTGGCAAAGACGAACGTGATCTTGTATACTTCAGCACCAGCGGCACTGGATGCTTCCAGTTTGCTTGCACGCCCATCTCCTGAGGTGAGCGCCCAAAAGTGGCCTGCTTCGTCAAGCATGGTCACTTGCGCTGAATGCCAGGTGAGTTCCTGAACCTTCACCAGCATCTCTGACGCCACGTTGTCCATCCCAACGGCTGAGTAGACCAAGTAGTGCGCTGCTCGTCGACGAACTGCTCCCCGAACTTGTTGCGGAAGAGGTTCCAGCCAGTGGCCAGTCAAGGAACTCCGGCAAAGGAGACGTCAGGGACCACGAACTTGGGCCCGCCTCCTCTTTCTCCTTGTCTTGGTCTGCCAAGAGACTCCGAACAAGCCCTCCTCTTTGAAGTCCAACTCGCGCGCCTTGACGTGGATCGCCTCGTCGAACCGCAAGGAGGCGAAGAGCATGCGCAGGATCCAGAAGATCTCTGCCTCATTGAACTTGTCAAGCATCACGAACTCCTCCATCGTGCTGACGATCGGTATCGGGTAGGGGATGGCCTCCTTGAACGGCTTGCCACATTTGTCGAAGAAATCTTTCTCACAAGCGTTTTCAGAGGAGCTGCGTCGAACGGCGGCAGCTGCAACTTGATCCTGAAGGCCACCCACTTCACCGCAGTCCTTGACGACGGGATCACTGTGGGAACGCATTCCTCAGAACTTATTATCAGTAAGCGGCCAGCTTCTCGAACCTACGGATGTGATTCGCCGTGGTCGAGGGATCGCCAGTAGTGTAGACCAACAGCTGCAGTCGCGAGCGCTCCTCGTTCGAGAGAATCTCCAGCACTGACCCTGGCGACGATGAGCTTCCAGCGTGAACACCTGCTCTCTCTTCGATCGCCTGCAGTCTCTTTGATCTCGGTTTTGCTTTTGGAGCCATATAATGGGAGGGGCGGGCGCCCGAATGATCGACTCAACCTCTCCGAGCGTTGTCTCGGAACACAGAGAGCGGATCTGTCGAACGTCCAGTACTGTTCGAGCATCTGCGTCCTGGATTGCAAGTGCTTATGGATCTCTGGCGCCGAGGACGCCGTCCACTCGAAGACTCGAAGACCTTGGCCGCAAACTGGCTCGCAAAATCGACCTCGACCGCCAGCACGAGCTGCAAGCTGGACGTGAGCCGATTATCGCCTCGCGAAACCCATGATCAAAGCTGGGGAAGGATAGTATCCTAACTGTCCACCGATCCGCGCGGAACGCGCTTCTTGCATCCTGTCTTGAGCGGAAGCTGCCTGTTCTCCCAGAGCATTTTCCACGCATTGCGTCAGAACTTGCATTAGACCCCTACTGAGAAATGCCACGCGTGTGTGGAACTGTTGCGACACTGAACCCCTTGCACACGCAGAACGACAAGCAATCACTGAACTACCTCGATCGCACATGCAGAACTGCAGTCAGCATCACTCGAAAGAGACTGCACGAAACAGATCTGACAAGGCAACCGACCTTGCGTTCACTGCGAGCGCATGTCCTTGCCTCAATTAAATCGCTCTGGCAAGATGAGCAGGGCCTGGAGCTTCGTGCTCCATCTTATATTAAGTGAACCCTTTTTCTTGTCACGAGCGCGGTGAGGGCGCAATTATCTGAGTCTCCCTCCACGACCGTGCGGTGTTGATCCCTCCAAAGGCTCGCCCCTCCATCTCGATCTTGTTGTGGTGCTGCAAGGCCACCGCCGAACTGGCAGGCTGGTCCATGATAGCGATCCCAGCCTCTTGAGCAGCAGACGACCAAGCTTCCATCGCCAGAGCTGGTGGTCCATGAGGAACTTCACGCCTTCATGCGACATAGCAGCCAGCAACGCCACTGGAACCACCAATGGCGCCCGAACGAAGAGCTTGCTCTCGGTCTGCACCTGAAAGTTTCCCCGAACGGCTTGCTCTGTTTGCTCCGGGCCCTCAACGCGAGCGCGCAGATCCCGCGCCCGTTCATAGTGTAGATCAGGGTCGGCCTGCTGATGCGTGAGACCACGAGCCAGGTTGAAGTAACCGAGGTCCTGGCACATTGCACATCGATCCTGTTGTTCACATCGCGATGGCAAAGCTCCACTCGATCTGCGTCATTCCCGATCGCGTGCAGCGATTCTCTACCGCAGACACGGAGCTCACAAATCTGCTGCATGACTGGCCTCAGTTGGACGAGAACCCTCCAGCCCAAGACGGCCACGACCACAGAGAGCCGAACTCGCCCTTTGCAGACATCACGGATGAAGAGCTCGTCCGCGAACTTCTGCTGGACCGAGAGGTCGGTGTCCACCCTGAACCTGCGGGAGATCCCGTGGAAAAAGTTCTCGTTGCCATCGTAACCGTTGTAGATCTTTATGTCCGTGTAGCTTGGAGAGCTGTCCCTGAGAACCGGCCAGTGAACGGCTGGAAGGCCTCATGGGCAAGCGGCAAGAGCCAGCGGCATGACGTCCCTTTTCCGTGAGCACATTGATGGAGCTCGCCGAGTTCGGCATGATTTCTTTGACGAGCCAAGCCTGGAACGGGCTCATCATCCTGTCGTCACGGCTATCGAGCATGATGGTGCTTGTGCAACGAGCGTCGCCCTTGCAAGTCATCACCGATTCGAGCCCTTGACCCCATGAGGATTATGAGCTGGCTGAGGTTGTGTAAAGGAGCCTCGCCTTGGCGATAGCCACCACAGCCACCACCATATCCACCACTGATCCTGACCGTCTCTGCCCCATCCAGCCATGATTTCCCAGGCCCGAAAGAGCTAAACTTGATCAGTTTAGTCAAGAGATCGCCTGACCCAAAATGGCGTCGCAATGAATAGCTTCCTGCACATGAACATGTGCATCACAACATGTGAACTACATGTGAACATGTGCAGACAGAACTAACATGCACTGCAGATCTCATGTGGGTGAGTGACCCTCCTACCCTACCAACCAAACTGCAGTAGGAGAATCGGCTGACAGTCAGAGCTTCTGGCTGCCGATTGCTGCCCTCTGCCGCCACCTGGATCAAAGTCAATTGCATTCATGGCATGCGACATGCCGAAGAACCAGCTGCAAATAAATCTGAAAGCAAAGTGAGCATCAAAGCCTTCTCGGTATCAGCACTAATCCCAGACTTGGAACCACCTCAAACGAGGTGGTGGATGTGCTGTCCTTAATTCATTTCCTCTGCAATGCGCTACATGTTGTCGATTGCCTGCAGTGCTCGGCCGATCTGGCAACGAGTTCTAGTGGCCTTCCTGCTCAAGGGATGCGTCTCTCATGGCTTGGCAACACTGGCAATCGCCTGTGAACCCCTGAGCTGCCAGTAGAGCTCGGTGCCACTCCTGCAGTCCGCCTGGCAGGACAGAAAGTGATAACGTCTAGTTTGAGTGGTTGACAGGATTTCTCAGGCATCGTGCTGGAACATAACGGGGTGTTGGAGGGGGCGCGGCCCCGATAGCTACATTTTGCAAAACATGGCATTTGCGTTTACAGTCTGAAATCGCGGGAAAATTGCCCTATGGTGTACAACGCATGAACAAAGATGAGAGCCTATAGCTTCTTGCTTAGTCTTGATGGGTCTTGACAGGGGTTGTTTTCGCCCTCGAAAAAGTTGCGGGGGCTGGGGGCGTGAGCAACCTGAACAAAGATGAAGGTATGCAGCTCTTGGCTAGCTTTTGGATGCTTTTGGATAGTTGCTAGGCAGTCGGCACTCTGTGTGCTGTTGCAAACGGGTGGGGCGAGATCGGGGAATCATCAATGAAGATGAGAAGATGATGGTAGCTTGTAAGTGTTGATAGGATTTCCCCGGCATTTTCTTTCAGCTATTGCCACAGCAGTATGAAATAGAGCAAAAAATATTAATTACGTGCCCTATATAGTGTCATCATATCTGTCCTAACAAAACTACGAAAGACACGCCAGGCCGACATTTCTCGCATGTAAGCCAAAAGAAGCATACCAATAATGACAACGGTGATTGTTATGGAAATGCGTAGAACTTGTGAAAGCCAGCGCGTATTGCTATACCCGGAATGATCGCAGTAGTCGCGCGAATAGCTCATGCGATAGTGATAGTGCTACGAAGGATGCCCAAATTTCCATTTCAATTAGCAAAAAAAGCAGGAATCATGAGCAGAATCAACAAAATCCTACTTACAACTGCACCAAGCGTAACATTTACAATGATGGAAATATACTCCGTATTTGTGCATACGTTGGTCGGAAGAATCCACATATTCCATCCCGACAAAGCTGCTGAGGCAACTAAACACTAAGCAGCAAGCAACTATTTTGATCAGCGACGGCTCAACCTCTGGACAATGCCTGAATGCAACATGCCCACGAAATACTGGATTGTGATGATGATTGGAAACACCTAATTGCATGACCGATGTTCTGAGCCTGTATGAGCATAAGCATTACGCTAAGCATTGCAGCAGCTTTTGGACATCTGCTGCGGGAACCGGTATACCGTCACTGCTGCCTGATTGCCTGCTCTTGCGTTCCGCATGTTGACAGGTGCTGGAAAGGCTAACGGATTTGCCAGGCTAGGGAGGGAACCCAGATATGACTGGCAGAGACTCCAACCTACTGGCACCTGTAGCGGAGCGCATTGATTTGATCCTGTCCGCCCAAAAACAGCACGAATACATTTAATGTGTCAGGTTTGCGCTTCTGCCAGCCTCGCGCAGGCCTGAGGTGTGTGAGAAGTCTGTCACACAGCGCACAAAGGGAAACGAGGTAGCGCACAACGCGTACAACCCAAGTAGATCTTGACTGGCTTACCTGCTGAACTTTGAAGAGGTCCACCCAATTTTGGTTGCCTACGCTGAGGATTCTCCTATGGGACATCTCCCTTAGGATGTACACTCCAACAGCATTATGGACACCACCTCAACCAATATAGCTTCTGCTGTATGGCTTGCACCTCTTTGATGGTGCTGGCAACTAGAAGCCGACACACAAGAGCCCGACTGTCCTAAATTGTAAGGGTCCCGCTAGACTTGCACCTGGCAGGTGTCCGCTGGCCGGCTCCATCATGTCATGCCCACAGACTTCTCGAGGCTCTGCTTGTACAGGTTTGCAATGCTAGTGGCTCATTGTGGAAGGTAGTAAACTGATGTAAGATGCACGTGCAGCATGCAATTTTTTGTCTACCCCAACATTTCGAGCACTTCTGAGTCCAACGAGACACAGGTGCGGTGCAGTGTGTCTGGGTCCCCCACACACTGGCCCCTTTCCTAAAACTGCCAACCCCCAAAGGATTTCCGGCGGAAAGAATCAAGAATTGTTGACCACGCGTGGCCAACAACTGAAAGCGCTCAAAATCAGCAGAACAAAGGTCACCATTATAAACTTGCTTGATCGTTAGGTTAGGATACAAGTGACTAACGAACATCAGGAGCTGAAATGAACAGTGTCCATACGAAAGGTGCGTAATTTTGATGCGGGCCCAAGATGGCAGGGGCGGCAGGGGTGGGGTGAGGAGAAGCACCCCCACGCCTCACGTAGGACATAGTTAAAACATCCCTTTTAAAGCAGACGCACACTGCGAACCGTGATTCCGCAATTCCTTGACAATGGGAAGCACAGACTCGCAGCGTCTCGAGTCTAGAGACCTTTTCCTTGAAAGACTACATTCACGCACTTTTTGGTTGCATGGTCAATTTTGTTTCTTTGCCAGTTGTCGGATGTTGTGGACTGCGATGGTGAACATGAACGCAGTTGACCGGTTGGGCTCTCCCAAAAGGGTGAGGGTTGGCTTAAATCAGGTTGAAAGGAAAGTGAAGGGAATCACATAGAACATTGGGACTTCGCACTGGTAACAAACATGCATGACGAGGCACTGGCGATGTAGAAACCACCATCCTTTTCCCGGATGGACGCCGCTGCTTCTGTACAGGTCAGCGCATCCGATGCCCGCATCATTCTCCACTGCCTCAAGAAGAGAACACTGTAAACTCTTCTTGCTTGTCTCTTCTTCTGGAGCAAACAAACGAGGAAAAGCGGCCTCGCATGCCAAACTTCTCATAGTGACAGACTTGTATATTTACATGCACCCGGCTACTATCAGTGACTCGCAGAAATTTCATTGGGGCTCCTGTTGCTGCAAACTCGTCCTACCACGTGCTGTTGCTGTCCAGACAGCACGGTTTTCACAGCAGTCAGTCATTTGTGCCAAAGCTTTTTGTAGCTAGTATACCCATGTGTGCGTCCTTCAGTCGTGTTAGATGGTTTTAGTTCATGTTCGTTGCCGCACTGCTTGAGCACATGCGCTAGCTGTTGGACGAAAAGCCGGCTGGCTGGGTCTCTGGCTCCAAACTCGTTTACGTCTACTTGACACCGAACTCCGATCGCGCGGTACCGTTTTGATACTGAGCGCAGTTCGCCTTTGGGGGGAAGGAGACTGCATTGCCTGAAAATTGATTGCTTTGCGTGCAGCCCAGGCGTATGCAGTAACAAGACTGGATGGGAAGGTAAACTGGCGAATCGCCACCGCTACATGGCGCCCAGTCCGCTGCATGCTGTGATGCACTCGTGTACTTTCCGGCAGCCTGCCTTTTGGACTTCATCACAAGTCTGGAAGGCCCAACAGCATTCTCTCGGCCAATGCGCTTGACGACAGGGCTCAACAGGAAGACCCCCCGGTCCACAGCAGCACAAGCTGCACCTATGTGCAGCTGTCTCAAGGGAGGGACTGACGATTCCTTCCCGGATTTTCTCAGCAGGCTCAGCATGCTCGGGGCCGTGCGCACGCGTATAACATCCACAATTTCTGCGGGGGTCGTCCTGCTTCTTGTGCCTCCTTCTGGAACCTGACCATGCGGGAGGCATGAGTTTTCCAATCTATCCCAACTATACGGCTGCACCGAAGCAATTCCAATGCCTATCCGGCCTATCCCACAGGTCAGAGCATGGTGCGCGCTTGAGAATGGACATGTCCGTTCGTTCTTCCTGCCCGGAGACATCGCGAGATTGACTTGACGTGTCTTGACCTCAGCGCCTCCACCTGCAGCTCAAGAGTATGGGTTGTATCAGCCTGGCACACGTCTGCCACTTCATGCCCTGTTGCTTGCTTATGGTTGTCCAATCTGCTTCTTTGAGCACTTCCTGCACTGGCACCGAGCTATTCTCGCGCGCCGAGTTCTTCGATAATGACTACGCCTACGCACTGTCTTTGGTCGCGAGCTCTGCTTGGCAGAGGGTCGTTAGCGCTTCCGCACCATTCAACAGCCCCAGGCAACCTGAAGCGGCTGCACGGTGTGGAGCTCATGCCATCTACGGCAGCAAGCTGTCCAAGCTGTCAACATTGAGAGGGGCATGCAACTAAACTAGACCTTCTGTGAAAACAGCATGGCCATCTTGCCCGCCACCGGGAGCACGTTGAAGTAATCGTTAATGTCCATCATCAATTGTCACAGCAACAAAATTCGACCTTTGCCTTAGGCAAAAATCATGTTACATGTGAAGGACTTGGCCCAGCCTATGAATTCAGGAGAGAGGCCCTCTCTCTGCCTCCTCCTGACTCCGAAAAAGCCAAGTCTGACCCAATCATGTCTGCTCTGGCAGGATGTACATCCAGGGCAGGCCGGCTGCGCAGGTCACATGTGTCGCTTTCTTCAGTTCGCATGCCAGACACATCCGGCACGTCGCGAGCTTCCTCGACAACATCCGGCCTCAGGATTCAACAAATGCACCTGCACATCCCGTTGATTTAAGTGGCGTCCGCAAAATCGGATCCTAAAGGGTTTCGCTGACGAGTTCAATTTCAAGATAGCTTGTGGGTGCAGACCGCTCAAGACTACGTCAACCATGCAAAGTCCCTCAGCCAAAGGATCTGGCCCGGCTTCTTGCGGTGCCCTTGGCCTCACCCAGGTGCCAGCTGTGCACAAGTTGTTGCATAGGTCCCCAAGAGATCAGAGCCAAGACCCTTGCTGCTTCTTCCTCTTTTTTTTGCCCAGGGATGCACCTGCCAGTGGAATGCCTTTGATTCAGGATATCATTCTCTGCAGCTTTGCCGGCTACGTTTAAGCAAAACACTTCTTGTCCGCGATGCTGTGGGAGACTGGCCAGCACCCACCTGATCGCAAAGTGCCCAGAACTGTCCATGAAGTATGCCAAAGCACACCATGCGAAGCTTGACCTATAACCCGAATCCAAAAGTTTTTCGATTTTTTGTGTTCGGCTTAGCTGTCAACCTTTTCTCCCATTGGTACTTGTAATTTTGCAGAAGTCAGGCAAATCCCATCTTCCGCCTCAGACGAAGGAAGCTGATGCTCGCATGCGACCCTGAGCTCCACATCCACATTGACCTCACTTCAAATTTTGCCCTCTGAGCAACACCTACAAAAGTGCGTGCTGAAGCAGGGTCCATGGCATCGTCGATGCTTGCTTCCAGGGCGTTTTCTATCCCAGCAGCCCCAAACTTCTGAGGCCTTGCACAGCAGAAGGCGAAAGATGTTTATGCTCCTCTTTGCAAGATATCAGCAACTTCAAAACGTGCCGTGCGCTTCCAAATTGTTATTCTGACATGTCTTGCAAGGTTTGGAGCGCCCAGCAGCGGATAGCAGGCGGCAACGGCAAAAGCATGAAAAACCTTGATGCCACCTGGTGGGATAGTAGTATCACTGACCAATGCGAAGCAGGTGTTATCTGGCAAACTTACACCCAGAAGTGACCTAAACATCATCTGCATCGACACTGTTAAGCGCATCAGGACCCTTGCTCCAACATAAACCAGGAAATCATCCGACTAGACATGGATCTACAATGCCTTGTAGTCTTATCATGGGCTTGTAAGGTTGCTTTTCAAACATGGAGCCTTAGAAGTAGAAGGGACGATTGCATACTGACCTGCTGTGGCTGCCCTTAAGCGGGTTGTTACACGACATGTAGCGCTCGAAACGACTATTGCGACTTACGGAACTATGTGGGGTGAATCACAGCCTTGTAAACGGGCAGTGGTAGTACGAACTCAGGCGTTCAAAAGGACCATTGCCGAAATATGGTAGGGAACCAGTATAACCTAGGGCCTTTAAACGGATGATTACGACATGGGGCCCTGTTTCGGGGAATCTAAGAAATTTTGGTGGTTATAGCCATAACGTAGAGTTCTGCTTGCCATGTTTGACTGGCTTGATGGCGCAAGTTTTCGCACTCAAACTTTTCTTTTTGAAGAGGACTGTGTCAAAAGCATTCAAAAGCCATGGTCGTCGGCGCCCGACTCGCGCTACTCGCCTTCCCGTGGTCTCTGGTTGGTTGTCTTGGAATGGGCGGCGTACCGCGCTGTTGGGGTGGACCTCATCCAATGTTAGCAACACTTCCAGGACTGGGACGGGCGAACTGCCCATACGTTACACAGGGGCTCCTTGGGCACTCCCGCCCCGAGCCCTACCCCTGCTTCTAACCCCTAATGGTGGGAGCGATCGGGAGGAGGTCTGGTGGGAGTTTTGGAGTATCTCCCTGCTTGTGGAATCGGCCACCGGGAGGGTCTTCTCTACCCTGGTAAAGCGTCCACCGGCGGAGGGTGCGGCAAAAGCTGGGGAAGAAGAAGTTGTAGCTGAACGTCTGACCTCCGAAGTGACAGTCGCCCCACGGAAGGACCGGAAGGCTCGTGGCAACAAGAAAGACGAGGCAGAGGATGACTCGTCTGCTTCGGATGACGGCAACTGGGGCGTGACACTCTGGGAGGACTTGCCAGAGGTGTTTCCGTCAGCAATAATTGGCAGGTTAATGTTGATCGAGGCAGAGCTCGCTGACGCCCCAACAGCGGCCAAATGTGCTGTCGTCCACGGGCAACTCGCTGAAGGTGAAGGACATCGAGCACATGGCCTTCGAGGTGCGGAGGACGAACTTCGACTACGTGAAGGACGAGGACCTCTGAAAGGCCACGGGAAAAAAGGCTGCCCTTCCACCTTTTGGGTGGAACGAGATGACTGGTGGCGAGTGGGGCCTGCTTGCCATGGAAGAAGCAGAACAGACACTGTGCATTGGATGGGCGTTTTTTTTCTGTCAGTCGGTTTCTGAAACGTATGGGGCGTCGTGGCTGACGGTGGACAGCGTCGCCGACGCTAGTTCGCGCCTTTGCCGAGAGCAGATGCCAAACACCAGAGCCGAGGCTTCTATCCCAGAAAAGGCAAGAAGGGCAAAGGCAAGAATTCCTTCCAGGGAAAAGGCAAAGGATATGGCTCCCCTGCTTCGCCTCCGACTTCGAGCGGCCCTGGCTGTGAATGTGAATAGCCCGTCCTACACTGGATACTTCGTTTGTGGAGATCGCGGGCCAGCAATCCGCAGCGAGGGTCACCGCCCTCGCCTTGGGGTTTCTCGTCAGCTTTGCCTGGTCCCTTCGTACTCTTCGGCAATTGCTTTGCTGTTGCTGTGGGAGAAAGACCGAACTGGCAGAGGCTCCGAGAAAGCAAGTTGCTGCTGTGGCGCCCGCCGCCGCCGCATTACCCTCCGTAAAGGTCGCCAAAGGATAGGTGCTCCCGGACTTTGCGGCCCTGATGCCCCGCGGCCTGTCGATACGGAATACCACCAAAAGCGGATTCGAGGACGTGGGGTTGGACGGATCCTCACGACATCCTGGTGAAGTTTTGAGCTGGTGCTGCCCGCTCGTTGTTGAGGAGTGTGGGGACAGAGGTGACCTCGTTTGCGTGATCGTTATCTCCTGCCAAGGGCGCAGGTGCAGCGTGCTTTCCTGCTTTGGGGCAGTGCATGGAGCACATCGGCTTGCCGAAGCTGCAAGAAGTTTAAGCCCCGCCGCTAGCACTGGACCTAAGACCCCAACTTAACGTCTTCGGTTCGCCAGCTCACTCAGCTCTCAGCGCTCCGAAGAACGGGCAGTCCGCTTCTCAGAGCCCAAAGAGAAATCCCCTTCCCGGCCACCCAGCAAGGGTCGATCCGACCGTCAGGACAGGCACCCCCCCGCCACAGCAGCGGCACCCGCCGGAGGTACTGTCCTCGTTCGTTTAAGGGTTCGGAGAGGTTGATGCGATGGTACCTTTTCGCGGGGAATCTTGCCTGGCCTCCAGGAGTGTGCTGGCCTCGACCGTCACGCCTCCACCCACACTGGGCGAAGGAGGCAGACTCCCAAAGCACTGGTTGGAAGACACTTGGAACCTTTCGGCTTGGAACCTTTCGGAAGCGATGTGTTAGGGTTTTTGGTGTGTGTCAGCCACCTTCCAGAACCGTTACGGGATTGGGCCTCTTCGTGGGATCGAGTGTCTGTCTGTCCTCGGAATTCAGCGCCGACGACCCTCTCCGGGTCTCAGTTGTTGGAGCTAGCTTCTGATCCTGACAAAGCTTTCCTCCTTATGAAGAAGGTCGCTTGTTTCGGCTCACCATGGCAGCGGACCGACTGAGGACTTCGCCGCTCCGCCCCGCCTGCAGGTCCGGGCACCTTTGATCGCCGAGCTAACTCCCAAACAAAGTTGCGACGTCTTTCAGGCCTGGCAGTGCGCAGGCCCTGGACATCTTCAAGGCAGCAGCAGCTCCCACCCTTGCCTCGCCTTGCAGGTCCGTTACTCCACAAGGTTGCCTTCCCAACCCCCACGGCTGTTTCCTGGTCAGAATCCCTGTGATGTTGTGGCCAACAAGTCCCTTGTTCTGAATCAGCAGAGCGCACCAGCTTGCTTGCGGGGGTTATCCCCACTTTCCCTGGGGGGTGGCAGCACTGTTCAGGTTTCCAAGTGGCCTCACTGTTCCTCACTTCCACTAACAAGGCGGGTGGAGCCCCCCTCACAAAAGCAGAGCCTCCTTCGGCGAAGCACTTGCTTCAGCTGGGCCACCACCAATGGTCGCCACCATCATACATGCAATCGATGGCCACGGGTCAGGATGAGGATAAGACGGGCAGTAAGGGCACGTTGACGTCGACCAAGAGGCAGAGAAGCTGGATGTTTTCCTAGCTCGAGGATGTGGTGAGATTAGGGTGGAACTTTGTACAGGCGTATGGAAAGGAGCTATTCCACGGTATTAAGCGGGCCGGGCACCATGCTAAGCACCTTATTAAATGGCCACACTTTGCAGGTTTCTAGGCAG